AGAGGACAAAGCAGTCGTCTACATACCTACAGTAGAGTAGCGGCCCGAGATCAGTCACCGGTGCTTCCACCTTAGACATAAATGCAATGGCAAGGTTTGGAGCCAGTTGTTGTCCCATTGCCAACCCTCTTATTTGAGCGTAGTACTTTCCAGACCATCTGAAGATTGAGCAGCTCAAGCAATCCTTTAAGAGTGCCATCAGGTGCTCTATCATGAAGCCATACATGTTTATTTCTCCTTCGTGTTGTGTAAGGAGTTCGAATATGGCTTGCATTGCGGAGTCATTCGACACGTTTGTATAAAGGGCGGTAACGTCGAAGGACTCCATCACGCACGCGCTGTTGGACTGCGCAGTACGTAGACGATCCAGAATCATCTGGGTATTCGTAAGATGGGCTGGAATGTGTTTCGACAACTTCAACAAGTTTGGCCGAGTGGATTGCTATCAACTTGACCTTTCCAACTGTTTCAACAATGTTTCAACAACAACTTTAATTTTTTTTATCAACCTCGTGTAAGTTCATCAAAGAAAGAATACATATTGATTAGTGATACCGAGGTTCAAAGAAAGTCGTTTCGAAATATTACTACGCTTTATGCTAGCTGATAATAACACCGACTTCTGCACGATGTGCGCAATGATGTATGTCCGGAAGAAAAACAAGTTGTTATCACCGGACATTATCATTATATCGACCATCAGCATCGTGTATAAAAGGGCATCACTGAGGGAGGATGCCTCATTCGAGGAGATGGCTCACTGAGGAAGACCTGACTCGACACGGAGAAGCTGCCACGTCGAGACGAATAACAAGCGTGGACCATCGACTCGGATCATCGGCTCTGAGGAAGACGAAGACGTCGAAACGTTAGTCGAAAATAAATATCATCATCATCTGATGATATTAATGTAAGCTCATCAAAGAAAGAATACATATAGTAATTTTTAAAGTTTTTTCTTTCTCGTTGAGTGATTCTTGAAAGCCGCTAAACGATACGGGTACGAAAGTAGAATGTCATAATAGTATGCCAGTTTTGAAATGGCTTCCAACCCAAAGGTGGTCAAAGGAAGCTAGGTTTAGTTCGCACAGTACTCCAAATAACTTCCAGAGGTGGGCAGACTAAAGTCAGTGTGAAATTGATTTAAATCAGGTTACAACAAAACACTCACTTTTTACGGAAACGTACTCAACCGTAGTTATCCAAAGCTAGATAGTTGCAGTTTGGTTTATGGTATACGATTTCGACATCACGGTGTACCTCAGCACAACTCCAATTGGGCTGATAGTTTGACGTTTATTTTCAAGTTTTTCTTAGTCTCTTTCTCGACATATATATATACATGTATACACATAAATATTCATGTATATATATGTCATGTGTATATATATCATGTATATACCATGTATATATATGTATATATCTATATATGTATATATATGTATATATATACATGTATATATGTGTATATGTATATATATATGTACATGTATATATACATGTATATATAGGTATGTTTATATGTACACGTATATATATATGTATATGTATGTATATATATATATATGTATATATATGTGTATATATATATATACGTATGTATATTCTGACAGGATTCTGCTGCATGGACCACATCGAAGCCATGTAATCATTGAAGTTTGTAGGGAGTACCAGCTGTCACCAATCTTGACTTTTCCCCACTATGAAGAAGCGTTTGACAATGTTTAAACGTATGTAATCCTATCAACGCTCGTCGACCAAGTAGTAGACCCGCCCTACATAAGCACTCTATCTGACCATCCGAACCGCTTTACAAAAGTACAGCTTTTCCATCGACCTTTTACCACACCCTTGTGAAAAGGCATTCGAGAAGGTCACACAATATCGCAAAGGCTGTTCGGTGCGGCATTGCAGTGGATACTGAAGTACATCGATTGGGATGAGAAAGGCATATGTATTGATGGAAAATTCTTATCAAACCTTGGTTTAGCTGACGACATCGTTATCCTCTGAAGAATGCAACCAAAGCAGAGATGATAGCCAGTGAGTTCAACGAAGGGAGAAAAAATATCGGGCTACGCATAAGTCGGAAGAAGACTCAATTCACAAAAAACAAACAGAGGAGAACAGATCAAACCGGGTGGTTCTGTGATTGCACCTCTCAAAGAAGCCACCGGCGTACAAAAGGACCCGGAAGTCCGCACTCACCTTCCCGATTCAACAGTTCTCTCAGGGCTGTCTTATACAGCAAAAACGTGGGCTGATACTTTGACCACTTCGAGAATACTACGCACTACTCACAGAGCACTTGAACTATGTCTTCCGAAAAATAACCGAGACACACAACAGCTAGCTGAAATGCGAAGCTGTGATCTTCAAAGTCTGTCCAGTCCTTCCGACCTAGAAAACCACACATGGATAGTGAAACACAGATGACCTACTCATAATTAGAAGAGCAGACGACAAAACGACGAAGACTATGGACTCACACCTATCACCATACTCGAAACAAATCGCCAACAAAGACGACGGGGCAGAGAAACGAATAGAAAGTGTGATAGAGTAGAAGGATATAGTATATATATATATATATATATATATATATATATGTATATATATATATTTCGGTACATGGGCGGCCCGTCTTCACGAGTTCTGAAGATCCAGTAGCCCTTTAACTTGGTTCGTCATCTTGCATTTGCGGTCCGTGGTCTTCGGATTTGTGTGTTGATACGGCTACCAGTTGAGGTCTATGTCTTCTTCATGGATGACGTCGAGTGTTGGTCGACTAGAATCTCTTTGGGATCTTGATATTGCTTAGGTAAAACATCTATTGGTCTTCCTAATAGCCACTATTTTCGAATCTGAAAGAGTCTGGTACAAACTTACTTGTCTCAGAGGAGTGAAAGGCTTGGTTGGTTCGGCGTCGTGTTGTCCATTCAGTGACTATACGTTTATATAATTGCAAAGCATCGCTAACCATTCTTTCCAGCGTCCGTGGAGTTTAGGTTAAAGAAAAGCATATCATAGTTGAAACTGTTGGACAAATTGCCATAATACCTAATACACTTTCTCTGCAGTACATGAATGAGTCGTTAGCGTAGCTAATGTTCTTGTGAAAGTGAGTTCGTTGCCTTCTATATCTAAGCCAGGTATGATGACGTAATTATAACATAGTTTCATACTATCAATGTTTATTTAGTGTAGAGAAGGAACTCTCTTTAAACTAGTAATGCTGTTAGAGGTAGATCCATTGCAGGTGCCAGAATGTGACTCCTTTTCCGGTTCATTATCGTGTATCATCGAGTTTCAGTATCGTGTATGGCTGAAACCTAATGCTGAGCAACAATTTCTATATGGAAACAACATTCTCAAATCAGGAATAGCACGCATGACAGAAAGCACACCAAGTTATGCAGGAATCGTTGTGTACAACATGAATGACATACCTTTAGGGTAACGTTGTTACTGCTTGCTTGTACTAATTGCAAATAAGTTGCGTTAAAACTGCAACACATTTAATGCAGAATAGATTAACATTTGTGTAAATAGGTTTGGTGTAACTGCAAAAGGCACTGCGGAATGTAAGCGCGCAGATCCAACTGCGGTGGTTATTCTACATCAATGTGATCTGGGAGAGTACATTCGGAAGGAGAACTCACTGACTTGATTATTAGTTGCGATAGTTGTTCATTTTGTTGTCGTTGTTGTTATTGTGCTTTCTCTTTGGTGAGTATTAATCCATCCGTCAAGTTTTATTTTTACACTTATTGTTAACACCTATTTACAAAGATGAGGTGTATTGTGTAAATGTTATATAGAAAGTGAAATACTTGAGTATATTAATTCCCGTCGTTACCGTACTGGACCGCATCTCTTGTGAATCAAACATAAATTCTCAAAGACACTGTAGGCAAACGTGACATTTAGAATGACTTAAGAAGCTGAAAGATGAGCAAAGTTTGCTAGTTACTTAATAACGTACAACGTATGGACATTTCGCTGATGTTGCTAAGGACACTGAGATAAGTTCTACCGTTCTACTTTGGAATGGTATGCTGCTACCTTAGTCTGTGTGAAAAACAGTTAATGTGAAAGCATAGAAGTGAAGAACTTGCACATCTGCATGCTAAGGACAGAGTTAACCTCTGGTACAGCAGACGAAAGTGCAGCGTCTGGTTTGGAAGCTCCATCTTGACGGTAGAGATGCAGCATAGACAGAAATGATGGGAAACGCCGAGCCACTATTTGTGCTCTATCAGATGACATTCCAGGGCATACCTAAAGCGGAAATTGTTATAAGTTTGTGTAATATAACTCGTATGAAATTCTGAGATATTTGCAAAACTCCGGACCACAGGTGAATGCAGTGGAGAACGAGCACGCGCTGTTGTCCTTACCGGGGAGCAGCGCACTTCACCACTACACCATCTGGGTCCTTCGCTTTGCGTGTATCTCAGCTGCTTCTATCGATCTTTTTTGCCATCAGCAATCACCCGTCAACGGGGTTGATCTGGGGAGCTAATATCGGCATTGAACCCAGTTAAGCTGAGGCTTAGTTATAATCACAATCTTAATTCTTTTATTTACTCTACTGGGTTCAATACCGATATTGGCTCCCCAGATCAACCCCGTTGACGGGTGATTGCTGATGGCAAAAAAGATCGATAGAAGCAGCTNATATATATAAATTGTGGTAGTGGCATGGTGGTATACAAGGCTTCGGGGTGCTTCCTTTTTCCTTATTTTATAGATTTTAGAATTTTTTAAACATAGAGGGGAAGTTTCTATTGCAAGTTTAAACGATATAACCTGGTGTCAATTTTCTACAACGTTTTTCACTAGTAAGATATCATTGTTATGCTGAAACCACTCCAGCGAACGTTTACAATTTCTAACTTGCGTGCTGATTTCAGAAGCTTGTTGATTTGTTACTTTGTCTTTTGATAATTTACTTGACCACAGTCATATAATTTTGATTTCAGGTGATTTTAATCGCAGACTCTCGAGAAAATAATTCTATATCAAGTAGAGATACCGTGGTGGAATACCTAACAACTTCAGATCATAGGGTTGAATTTCTTTGTACAATTAAGTTAGGACTTTTGTATGGCAAAGTGGTTCAGGTGGAGATGCGTCCTCTTTCTGTTGGCGATTATCTATGGGTTTTGCGTAAAATTGACGGCACGGAATTGGTATTAGAATGGATTGTTGAGCGAAAAACATGGAATGATTTGCACCAAAGCATTCGATCGGTATTGGATTAAGAGTACCTTAGTTTTATGAAGTGTTATTCATCTAATGTATGACTTAATAGAAGTTATTGCTTTGAGAATATGTTTCTCGTTAATGCCGAGAGCATATTCGTTCTTAGGGTCGATATGAAGAACAAAAACAACGTTTATGTCGATCCCCAATGAAGAATCGTGTTTATCTTGTTGAGGGACCACTTACTACAGAGTTTAGTGCCAGCAAACAGGTGAAATTCCGACTAAGTTCGGTTTTTTCCGACCTCTAATTCATTTCATGTTAGAGGCACTAGCAACTACATTAGTCTCAGATGGTTTCATGATTCAAAGAAGCAAAAACCCTCAGGATAGTGCATATTTCTTATGCCGGCTTACGGACTACTTGAAAACAAAGACTGCTTGTTCCCATGTAGGACCTTCGGATTCTCTGAGCGCTTTATGTAATTATACCTGTTACATTAATCTTTCAGATAACTGGAATGAAATTCGACCATTTTCAAGAGCTTTCCAAAAAGACTCATGTAGACACGGTGAAGGACATGTGGATTAGACAATTAATGGTCGGTATCATTCTCAATATTGAAAACACAAACTTATCTTAACTCTTTTATTTACTGCCTTTTTCTTCTTAATGGCAGGTTATGTTGCGAAATATAACTCGTATGAAATGCTGAGATATTTGCAAAACTGCGGACCACAGGTGAATGCAGTGGAGAACGAACACGCGCTGTTGTCCTTACCGGGGAGCAGCGCACTTCACCACTACACCATCCAGGTCCTTCGCTTTGCGTGTATCTCAGCTGCTTCTATCGATCTTTTTTGCCATCAGCAATCACCCGTCAACGGGGTTGATCTGGGGAGCCAATATCGGTATTGAACCCAGTAGAGTAAATAAAAGAATTAAGATTGTGATTATAACTAAGCCTCAGCTTAACTGGGTTCAATGCCGATATTAGCTCCCCAGATCAACCCCGTTGACGGGTGATTGCTGATGGCAAAAAAGATCGATAGAAGCAGCTGAGATACACGCAAAGC